TACCATCCTTGTTAGCTTGGATCTTGGATGTTTCTTTTGCTTTTTTTTTTTTTCCCCCAAGACAATGTCTCACTATGTTTCCAGGGTGACCGACCTTAGGTTCACAGTAACCCTCCTGCCTCAGCCCTCTGAGTGCTGGGATTACAGGTGTGTGCCACCACACCCAGCAACCATGGTCTTGTTTCTTAATTTCTCTGAGCCACTATGGTCTCTCTATCTGCAAAATGGGGCTGGTGATAACTAGTCCCACCTCACTGGGTTAATAAGCAGAGTCCAGGAGAGAAGGCACAGAAAGTACCAAGCACAGCGCCAACATAATGGCATGAAAATACCCCGGCTGCAGTCATTAGTACCATCCTGTCTCAGCCTCTGTCATGGGCTCAGGAGCTGTGGCCGACCTGAAGTGGACCAGGTGGTTCTGAAATGGAGAGTATGAGTTCTGAAGACGCGTTTGGAAATGCCACCTTCCCTCCCTGGGAAACTTCCCTACGTGCAGAACCCATCAGGGTGGGAACAAGGCAGGAAAGAGGCCCAAGGATGGTGATGGCAGAGGAAGGAAAACAAGCCCTCTTTCTGCAGGCCATTAAACGTAGTAAAAGGAGCTGGCTCCAGCAGTCACTTCATCACCAGGCCTTGAACTGCAGCCTCCAGGGGCAGGGTACGGCCAGCCTTCCTCGGGAGGCACCACCAGCTTCTGCTCTTACCCAGACCCCACGCATGCCCCCTGTCCCTCAGTGGTCCCAGCCCAGGTCAGCTCCCCAGCCACACCGCCTGGATTCGCACTGCTATTAGAGGCTAGATAAACCACCAAATGCACTCACAACTGGGCCTGATCATTGGGTAACTACTGAATGTTAAGTTAGTAAAACAAAATGGGGCCGGGGAGATAGCTCAGTAGAATAAGTGCTTGCCTGGCAAACACAGGGTCCTGAGTTCAATCCCCGGTGCTGAAGACAAAAAAAAGAGAAGCCAGGCAGGTGACACACATGCAAACCCAGGAGGCTGCTCACTTGAGGCCAACATGGGGCTACAACACTGAGTTCCAGGGCAGT